GGCTTATGTTAGCTAGAAAGGGCGCTTTATCAAATGTTGTATATTTATTTTATTTCATTTATTTGGCTTCGGCAACCATATATTTTTCTGACCCCGTATGTGCGATTCTCTGCGCTTTCCATTGTCTTTTAATGCGTGACCGCTGGTCTGAGTACAGTGTGAGTATGATGTACATCCAAATCAAGTGAGTTACAGAGCGCTCGCCTTTATGTACTTCTTTCTCTGTGTCCATAGACTACTTGACCATTAGTTTCATTATAAATTAGGTGTGATATTTCTCGGCGTTTATACATTTTATGACCCTCTGATTATGATGCATGTGCGGTACTGCTTGAGAAACTTTTTTACACTCCTTGACGTCCATACATATTTGTGATCGCCAATGTGAATAAAGTTAGAGTATTTTTGCGTTTGATATACTGCAAGTTATTTTGAATCCATAAATTGTGTAAGCGATGCAGATGTGTTGCTCAATGCGAGATAACTTTGTACGTACCTCTTGGCCCCCATAGACCTGGCGACTTTCTGCACCAGGATACCCACGGCCCCACAGCCGATGACCAGTACATCTTCTCCCCTACAGTCGAGTCGCTCCACCGCATTGTGGGCGACGCCAAGGGGCTCCAGCATTGCGATCTGGTCGGGTGCTACAGTAAAACAAAAGCGATACATTGATAATGAGTTTTAGTAGATCAAATTATTCCCATGTTAGCGTCAAGTGTCCATAATGAGGAATAGCAAATCGCCTTTCGTCCATCGTCGTATATAGTGAAAACTTAGTAAAGCCACGCGCTGTATCTATGATCATTTTAAAGTGCATTTCAAATATAGCAAATGTGTATAGACACATGAGTTGTTAAATAATCAGACAAACATTTCCCTTTCCGAGTTAAGACGACAAATTCTGATTACAACTGCTGATTCTAATGAAGGCGACTTCGGATGCACATTATTGAGATTGCTGGATCTGTTGATTGGCTGAGATACTGTATGTACATAAATTGAAAATATACATCATTTTTGTATATGACATTATAACTGTACTACGCATATTAATACCATAATATATGGAAAATAAATGCAATTTTTGGCAATTAATAATAAAATTTTGTAAAAACCAAATGAAGCAAACTTTAAATACTGACCAACTTACTCAGAGATCGTTTGAGTACGTATAGAAACTTGGCAGGAACTATTGTGTACTCGGAACATCCTCCATACGGCGTCTGCCTCCCGTGTCCGAACTGCCCCATGTTGAGACATATTTCGCGGGTGTCATGCGTACACTGGTAACATGTTCCGCAGTAGTAATGATTCTCTACGCCGACTTTACTGCCCACCGGTATGTCGGCGTCTGGTCCACACTTGACTACCGTACCTGCACACTCGTGGCCGGGCGTAAACGGTATCGTTGCTATGACTTTGGCCACATCATTCCATGTGTACATGTTGATGTCGGAACCACATACCGACACTGCGTCCACTTTTATCAACACCTCGTCGCCCGTCGGTTCCGGCACGGGTACGGTCTGTAGATCGAATGAAACAGCTTCCTTTGTCTTCACTAAAGCTTTCATTGTCGCGGGTACTGTACCGGTGGAAGCCATCTTGTTCGCTGCGTGTTATCAAGTATGGCGGGCGTTATCTACAAAGGGTACGGAAGGTCATGGCGCTATATGTAACAATATTATATTCTAATGACCACATGTATCACATCTTATAGGAATGTTATACATGCAAGTAAATATACATTTATGTAAATAGATTTATAATATTGAACGAATTTCTGTGCGCTCGGGACAACAAATGCTGAAGGGTAGAATAACCAGAGGTGAATAAATATACTGGTTTAATAGTCTCTGAAATAACCAAAAAGACACGTTCGCTCTCTGGACCCCTGAAAATTGAAGACACGCGGCTGGCTATTTGATTGGTCTCTGTTAGAAAGACCTGACCATTCGCTAGGTTCGTCCTTTAAAGATTACAGAGGAGTGACAACCGCGGATTTCAATGTCAGCCAATTTTACCGCTACGCAACCGAGAGATTCTTTTGATGTACATCAAATGATCGAGCTTCCTTCTCGTCTCATGCACAAGGCGGTGCACACTGAGCCTTCGATTTCCTAGGGTGCAGAGAGTCAAAGAGAGCATAATCCCTGGAATATCATGGAAGGCTGACCGCATATCGCTATTACAGATAGGACTCTCCATAGAAGGGAAGGCGTCTCTGACAGCTAATTTGATATGGCAAGGGCGTCGTGTGTGTATAGATAATGTTTATTCAACGGATGTGACGAATTTTGCCACACGTTTCGGACAGACTGTCATATCCACGAATCATTCGGCTAACCTCGGCCGATTCCGGTACCCTTCATCTAGATGTATATCTGCCGAGGTGTGCCGAATGATCTACGAACGCGTCTCGAGAAAAGATATCAATTCATTTACTGCAAGGACTATTTTTAGGCTCAGATTATTGAGTAGTATCCGTATGAAACATGGACATTCAAACGAGTCATTGTGAAGATAAAAAGTTTATAACTTAAAATATTATTTACACCGGCAGGTATAATGATTTTATGCAGATAGTGACTGTGTTCTCAGAAAAGAAGATGTCACTATATATATAGCCAATATTTCCCTTCTTTACACGACTGAATAAAGCGCTGATCCAAAACAGACGTAGGCGTACTTTTGTACTCGTGTTTGTACTCGTGTTTAAACGTCGATACGCCATAAGATACAATATACATAGTGTATGAGGTTATGGAATTTTTATACAAATTCTGTCGTAATCTTTTCTCTTCAACACTGCAGTTTGATTACTTATCAAGTCCAGGCACGCACGCCCACATTTACATTATGTGTCGACATACACATACTGCCAATGTGAGTCATTATGTATTTTGTAACCGGAGCGGAAGTTGTTGAAGTAATCAATACAAATTTTGTAAACAGGGTAGGTTATTCCCATTCTAGCTATTACAAGCTAAATAATGCTTTTATGTTATTCGGGGCAAAAAGTATCCGAGAAATTTACTCTTTATTCATACGACAATGTCCGCCGAAATACGTGTATGACTTGATTTCTATTTAGAAAAGATTTCTGCTCCGTAAACATCGTGACGTCGTGGATTTTGAATTTGTCAAAAAGTATACATATTATATGTACTTCCCATGAATATGCTAATGAGTGACGTTTCAAACCTTTTATGCGTGTGTTAATACTGTATGGCGTCGCAATAGAAAAACGACGTCAACCGTTTCGCGGTACTAATATATATTTCGCGGTTGTCCCGATCAGAACCTGTTTCGCGGGGTTTCTATTTCGCGCAACACCGCCTTATCATAATGATGCGGTCATTAGCCTTTTCTGTATACAGTAGGCACCTAGTGAGGAAGGGTTTTAAATCCAATTTGCATCGACACTGCCATTGCCATCCTCCATACTCCAGGGGTTACGCTCACTTTCACTTTCTGTACCCCTGGAATAGGTCATAACAAAATTGAAGGCACGCGGCTTGCTATTTGATTGGTCTCAGCTAAAAAGCCCGGACTAATCGCTAATTTGTATATGATCTTAAAAAGCAAAACATAACACAATCAAACTCAAAATGCAGCAAATGATTTGGTATCAATGGATATTTATTAATATAGGAGTCCTCGGCAGTTGCATCAACTTGATTTACCTGCGTTGAATACAGTAAGCCACAGTAAGCCACAGTCCCACTTAACTTGGGACCTGCCCGTTTATGCGGAACAACCGATTCGACTGTTTTCAAATGCAACATTTTCGGGTTTATTAAATCCTGGCAGACCTGCAAACGTGTATGCATGCCTTGCAGTGCTTTGTCAAGGCTCGCCTCAAAGCAGTGTCATATTACTAAGTCCGACCTTCTGTCATAAACGAACAAGTCTGGTCCAACCGGTTCAACCGTTTGGACCGCGATAAA